CCTCTGCGATTGCCAAAACCATCTTCTTATTGGCTAGAACCTGGTCACTAGTTGAACGACGGGGCCCCATCATCAACTCTTAGTAACCTGGTTCGCTGGTTGGGGGAGATAGCCTGTAAATGAGGGTGTGTACATGCGCCGAATAAAGGTTACGTACTCTTTGCATGCCACAGGTACCGTCAAATAAGACATGATTTAGATATCCGCTGTGCAGCCGACCTACCATATCATGTTTATCAGACGTATCTGGGTATTTGTAGCTGACCCAGAGTTGCACCCGGTTATCCGCTGTCTTGATTGAAAGAGACGTGTTCTTAAGAATGTCGCACTGTCTTCCACTCCATCGGGAAATTCGCAACACAGTCGTTTACACACTGTTCATCAACATTTATCTATGGTTCACAGTCATATCACTAACGAAGCTGTTCTCACTTCTCTAAAAGTGTTCTGCTGTGTCCTTTGAGCTTCTTTTATGCACAAAAACGCGCGGATCAGTGTTCTTTGTTCGTTATCCCGGTGTTAATGTTTCCCTTGGCAGGGTTAAAAGCAATCTAATCGCCCCTGCCTCGCTCCATCCGCCGCTGCCTTTGGCGTTTCCCTACATAAAGGATTCGCTGATACAAGCAGATTTGCCTTCCTCGCCAAACTTCAACAAAAGCTATACTAGATGCTTGATTTCTTGATTTGTCTCGATGCCATCAGCCCCTCTGGAGGGCTGAAAGAGGCTGATACCCCCCCCCCCGTCGTGGAGAAAATTTCTCCGTACATAACAAGACCAAGAAACCGCACTAAAATAAGTTGATAAATGCAAAGGCCAAGTGACTGTCGCAACTGAAGCTTTGATTAGCACATATTTGTAGGAAGCAGACACTTAAATAAAGTGCTATTATAGATCAAGAAATATCTTCATAAAGTACTTCATAGGAAAGTGAAAGGTGGTTAAAATTCTTTACAACTTCCTTTATGCTGAAGAAGGAATCTTCATCCAAGGACTCGGAGTTATCCTGGTTGGTATCCAGTCCCCAGACACTGTACGACCCCGACGGGTTTAACACTTTCCTGTGGTTATAGCACTTACAGTTGACAGAGGGCCTCGTTTCACCTCACCACCTAGCCTCGTACTGCACGGAATGTGTCGATGATTGTGTTGTGACAGGGAGGGAGGCAGTGATAATGAGGGAGGGATGGGAGAGGAACAGAGAGGGAGAGAGAGAGAGAGAGAGAGAGAGAGAGAGAGAGAGAGAGAGAGAGAGAGAGAGAGAGAGAGAGAGAGAGAGAGAGAGAGAGAGAGAGAGAGAGAGAAGAGACAGGCAAGGGCAAGGAGGAGGTGTTGCTGTGTGTTTCTCTAAAAGTGTACATGAACAGCACATTGATGTTGCCATCCCTACTCATCTTGAAATGATATTCTTCAAGCTCTGCATAAAGACTAGTACCTCTGTACTAGCATGTGCAATTTACAGGCCTCAGTGGCAACATGGAGACCCTATCAACTTCCTAATGGAAAATATGGACTCCCTTCTGCTACAACACAACTGTCAACATATCATAATTGTTGGTGACCTCAACCAACACCTTATACAGAGGGACTTTGATGACCTTCTTGCAGTATTTGACCTGAGAAACTTTGTTGATTTCCCTACTCACATCTCTGGCTCCTTCCTTGACCCAGTAGTGAGTGATCTGGCAGAAGGCATAGTCACTTGTCAACCCCTCGGCTACGTTGGATCGTCTGACCACAAGGCTGTTTTTACCACACTTAAGTTCCCAACAGAACGAGGTGAGGAGTCCACACGCATATCCTGGCTATGGGAAAGAGGTAATTGGCCAGCCCTTTGCTCTGAGCTCGCCACCACCGATTGGAATGCTCTTCTCCAAGGGGATGTTGACAACCAAGTGAAAGCCTTCACTGGACACATCCTTAATCTACAACAAGAACACATTCCTCACCGGCAATATGTGACGAAGCCTACAGATCAGCCTTGGTTTGACTTTCGTTGTAGAGAGGCTGCTACTGCTAAGTACAAAGCATGGCGAAGGTATAAGAGACATCCTACCACCTATAACAGGAACTTGCACAGGCAAGCCTGTAGGCATATGGGTGACGTTCAAAAGTGGGCCATTGCTAAATGGGAGGTGGACACAAAAAGAAAGCTAGCATCAGGTAGGGTAGGCTCCAAAACCTGGTGGTCCCTGGTCATGGACAGACAAGGTTATCTACCTGATGAACTCATTCCACCTCTAAATCGACAGGATGGGACCACCTCTACTAGTAGTCAAGAGAAGGCGGACCTCTTTGCTGAACACTTTGCTACCAAAATGCAAGTTCCTGATCCAGCAAGGGACCCTCCTTGGCTAGCTACAAGAACTGTGTCAAAACTGTCAGTGGTGACAATAAGGCAGGAGAAGGTGCATTTTTTTCTTAAATTGCTTTACCAAGAAAAGGCTGTGGGCCCAGACAAGTTGAGCCCAAGATTGTTGAGAAGATGTGCAGACCAGCTAGCAGCACCTCTAACTCGCATCTTTCAGTACTGCCTAGTACAGCGTAAATGGCCCTCTCTATGGAAAGAGGCAAATGTAGTCCCTGTTCACAAAAAGAAGAACAGAGTAGAAATCAGCAACTACAGACCAGTGTCATTCCTGTCAATCACTAGTAAGATCCTTGAGACAATAATCTCAAGACAAATGACAGAGTTTTTTGACTACCACTCACTACTTTGTGATCGTCAATATGGCTTCAGGAAAGATTACTCTGCTGCTGATCTGTTGTTAAAGCTCTCCACTAAGTGGCACCAGTCACTGGATGAATCCAAAGTCAGCTGTGTGGTAGCACTGGACATTGATGGCGCTCTCGACCGGGTGTGGCACCAGGGTCTCTTAGCAAAACTTCAAGCACTGGGAATTACAGGCTCTACGTTATGTCTCCTCAGTGATTACCTTCATGGTAGATCTCTAAGCATAGTTCTCAATGGAACGGAATCAGCAAGACATCCTATTGGGGCAAGTGTTCCACAAGGAAGCGTACTGGGACCATTGTTATGGAATGTCTACTTCAACGACCTTCTTCATCTCATCCCAGAATCCCATGCATATGCAGACGACTGTACACTGACATTCACTTATCCAAGAGAAGAAATGCCAGCTGCTCTAAACTACATCAAACACCAGCTGAGTGCTATATCAGCTTGGGGAAATAGATGGCAAGTAACATTTGCACCTGAGAAAACGCAAATGATGATCATCTTTAGGCACCATGATGGTAATGCTGGTGTAGTAGTAAGGATGAATGGGATGGTGTTGGCACCTGGAGAAGAAGTTGATATCCTTGGGGTGAAATTTGACTCCAAACTAACCATGAAGAACCATGTTGTAAATCTTGCAAACAAGGCAGCCAGGAAGATTACAGCACTTCGCCGTATCTCGCATCTGCTTGACAGTAGGGGTTGCAAGATTCTGTACGAGGCACATGTACGCTCACACCTTGAGTATGCTCCACTTTCTTGGTTTGCCTGCCCCCCCCCCTCTCATCTGCGACTGCTTGACAGAGTAGAGAACAGAGCAAGACGTCTCATCTCTCGCCTGGACCCATCCTGGATAGATCTGTCATTTCAGCAGAGCCTTCAACATAGGAGAGATGTGGGTGGCCTTACTGTTATGTACAAGGCCAATTCTGTCAAAGTACCACACTTGGATCCACTTCGAGGACAGCGTGAAACAAGCTTTTATGCTACAAGACGGGCAGAAAGCAGCAACTTCACTGTGGCTGTACTCATCTCCAGAACATCACTCCATCTGAGATCATATATACCCGGATGACTCGAGTATGGAACACATTCGTACAGCATAATGATGTCAACGAGATAAAGTCAGTTGATCACATGAAAATGCTGGCCCACAGATGGCTCCAACTTCATCCTGTTCCCTACTTGTATGTCTCATAACAATAAAAATGCTTTCAAATGAGCTGATGTAGGTAACAGCTCTTAGCTTGCCAGTAAAGTTAGGAATCCTTAACCTGTAAATAGCTTGTCAATAAAGCTAGGGATCCTTAACCTTAATATATATATATATATATATATAAGAGAGAGAGAGAGAGAGAGAGAGAGAGAGAGAGAGAGAGAGAGAGAGAGAGAGAGAGAGAGAGAGAGAGAGAGAGAGAGAGAGAGAGAGAGAGAGAGAGAGAGAGAGAGAGAGAGAGAAAGAGAAAGAGAGAGACAGTGATAATGAGCGAGGGATGGGATATTAACAGGTAATAACCGTGTTTTGGTCTTTGTTTCTAGGAATTCTCTTTACATATTAGTCTTATCCGGTCCAGGACAAAGCGAAACGTCGTCATAAGTTACTTATCTCTTAACTGCGGATTGGTGAAACATACGCAGCTGTAGATGTCTCGCCTGTGTAACACGCTACTTCACACTTTTTTGTCATTTGTAAGTAATTTCTCTTCCTCTAAGCGAGGATTATTTATAAATTGTACATTATTATTATTATTATTATTATTATTATTATTATTATTATTATTATTATTATTATTATTATTATTATTATTATTATTATTAACACAAAAACTATAATGCTAACGAATGTCAATAAGAGGAATATCAACACAGTACGAACATCAGTGTCCACTCTTACGTCTTTTCATCACCCTGAGACTGAAGAAATACTTCCTGACATCCCTGTGGCTCACCTGTGTCTTCAGCTTCCACCTGTGTCCCCCTTCCCTGATCCTGGTCCTCTCAATTAAAGCAGTCTGTCTCTATCTGCCCTGTCAATTCCAATAAGGATTTTCTAAGTCGTAATCATATCTCCCTCGTGTTCGTCTGCCCTTCCAGGTTGTCAACCACAGCTCCTTCAACCTCCCGTAATAGTGCATCACTCTTAGTTCTGGGACAATAGGAATCTTTATGCACCTGTAGTGTACTACCCGTACCTGAACAAACGTGTACCTGTAGTACCATTTATATCTGAGCAAAGCTTTAATGGAGTGTTTCTTCCCCCAGACCTGAAGCGCGCGCTGCGCATGGAGTCGCCAGCACCGCGACTCAATGAATCAAACCTCAAGAAACTGTCCAGAGGCCTCAGGTGAGTGAGATGTGATGAGTCTTTGCAATACAGTGAGGAAGAGAGAGAGAGAGAGAGAGAGAGAGAGAGAAGAAAATTGGTATTTTTCGCATCATTAATTCTCTTCCATATCACACTGCACTACGCAGGAACCATCACATAACACTACGCAGGAACCATCACATAACACTACACAGGAACCATCACATAACACTACACAGGAACCATCACATAACACTACACAGGAACCATCACATAATAACACTACGCAGGAGCCATCACATAACAACACTACGCAGGAACCATCATTCTCCAGTTCATAATTAATTATAATTCTCCACGTTTTTCTCCTCGCCATAATTTCGTTATCTCGTCTCCTTGTCTTCCTCCGGGCTTTTTCTTGCTCCTCTTCATTCCCTTTGTTCCACCGTCTTTCTTCCTGTAATCAAGACTTTTCCTCGGTCACGTCTCTGTTTCTGATACCAATGTGATGTTAGAACATAAGACTATGTGATACCCTGAGGTATTTTTTGTTACTCTTTACTGATATTCTATTTTTATTGTTATGACAAAGGGAGAGTATTTTTACACTTGGGAATTCCTAAGAAATGCATTACGGTATATGATTTACATTCGAACTTCAAAAATTAAGTTTGGTGAATTGATTTCCCTTAATTCCTTCGTGGATGCTCTCTCGCTTACACTCCAACAGCATGTTGAATCCAAACAACCACTCGTCCCCATTCAGTTCGCTTGAGCATAGTCATGTTTGTCTGCGCGAGTTGTGGCACGGAAAATAATACTGGGAATAGTCTTCGTTAGAATGGCCAGACGCGCTTGTGCATGGCACGGGTGATGGAAAGTGTGTCTAGTCATTCCCATCATCCACCTCTCCACCACGTCCATCATGCACCGTTCCATCACGTCCATCATCCACCTCTTCACCACGTCCATCATGCACCGTTCCATCACGTCCATCATCCACCTCTCCACCACGTCCATCATCCACCGCTCCACCACTCATCATCCACCGCTCCACTACGTCCATCATCCACCGCTCCACCACGTCCATCATCCACCGCTCCACCACGTCCATCATCCACCGCTCCACTACGTCCATCATCCACCGCTCCACTATGCGACCATCATCCACCGGCCCCCCACGTCCCCATCATCCACCGCTCACCACGTCCATCAACCACCTCTCCACCACGTCCATCATCCACCGCTCCACCACGTCCATCATCCACCGCTCCACCACGTCCATCATCCACCGCTCCACCACGTCCATCATCCACCGCTCCACTACGCACATCATCCACCGCTCCACCACGTCCATCATCCATCGCTCCACCACGTCCATCAACCACCGCTCCACCACGTCCATCAACCACCGCTCCACCACGTCCAACACCACCGCCCATCACGTCCATCATCCCCACCGCTCCACCACGGTCCATCATCCACCGCTTCCACTACGCAGCATCATCCCACCGCACCACCACGTCCAACATCCATCGCTCTAAACCACCACGTCCATCAACCAACGCTCCACCACGTCCATCAACCACCGCTCCACCACGTCCATTAACCACCGCTCCATCACGTCCATCATCCACCGCTCCACCACGTCCATCATCCACCGCTCCACCACGTCCATCATCCACCAGTGGTCAATTACTTTGGCTGTTCTGAAAGGAAATGAAAAGGACTTAAATCACCTCTACCACTACTGTCACAAACACCACCACCACCAGCCTCACCACCACTACTGTCACAAACACCACCACCACCAGCCTCACCACCACTACTGTCACAAACACCACCACCACCACCAGCCTCACCACCACTACTATCACAAACACTATCACCCACCACCCGTCTCACCACCATTTCTGTCACCACACTATCATCCACCACCACCAACCACCGAGCCACACCACCACTACTATCATCCTCCAGTATTGCAATGACAACAGGACAAAAACATGACCTGACATTGCTTACCTCAGCCTTCCCTCTCTCTGTCTCTACTCTCTCTCTCATCTCACTCACCTCCTCCTACCTGAAAGCTTCAACGAAACATGACTTCAATATCTCAGTAGTTTGTACACTTTCCAGTACAGTCATCAAAACCATCCGGCAGGAGATGTTAAGTCGATTAGCGAGGATGAACACCTCAGAAACTTGGAGAGAACACATTAACCATGAAGATTTATAGTGCTTCCTCTCTCTTGGACCCGCGTAAATGACCTCATCCGCTGTAACAACACCTGGTACATGAATAAAAAGATGTAAAACAAATAAAACGTGTGTTAAACAATTAAACACGTGAGAAATAATTGAAGAAGTGTGCAGTCATCAGGAATTCAAACCTTCCTGATAAATGTTTTTGAAGTGTTTTGCATACGTGTTAAGAGTCTACCTATGGTTTAAACGTTAGCACACTGGTTTAATGTTTTGGCGCGGGGGGGGGGGGGGGGGGGGGGGGGAGGGGGGGGGTGGGGGGGGTGGGGGGGGGGGGGTGTGTTAGGGGGGGGGGGGGGGGAAGTGTTTGAGCATGTCAACACGCTGTAATGCAGTGAGGTGCGCCCACGTGAATTGGCTGAATGCAATATTTACATTAGCAAGTAGCTGAGGGATGTCAACAGCTGCCAGATGAGAAGTCATGTCAACATGGACCAGAATCCTCTAAGGAATGTTTCTGGCACCTTGTTCAATCCATGACACCAAGAATTCAGGTTGCACTGAGGGCCAAGTGGAGGCCCTACCCAGTACTAGACAGGGTGTACCTAAAAAATGGCCACTGAAATGCATGTTTCTATCATATGTACTTTCCTAATGAGACTGCTTTCTCTGTGTACTTTCTAAGTATTCTATATACTTTCATTTACATCACTTTTGACTTCTAATTTTAATAACGAGGTCTCCCTTGATCCCAAACATGTCTTAGCTAATAGTTGTCAAAGGAACTTGTCTATAGACACTTAAGCCCTGTTGTTTGTGAATGAATGTGTGTGGTGTGTGTGTTGTGTGTGTGTGTGTGTGTGTGTGATGTGTGTGTGTGTTGTGGTGTGTGGTGTTGTGTGTGTGAGGGGTGTTGTGTGTGTGTGTGTGTGGTGGTGTGTGTGTGTGTGTGTGTGTGTGTGTGTGTGTGGGTGTGTTAGTGTGTGTGTGTGATGTGTGTGTTGTATGTTTGTTGTGTGTGTGTGTGAGTGTGTGTTGTGTGTGTTGTATGTACTCACTAGTGAGGTTAAAGGTCAGTCCGAGCTCCTGGTCCGCCTCTTCACTTGATCGCTACTATGTCACTCTCCTCTGAAAACCGTGAGCTTTATCATACCTCTGCTTAAAGCAATGGTATGATCCTCCTCCACTACATCGCTTCCCAAACGATTCCACTTACTGCCTCTCAGTGGCTGAAGAAATACTTCCTAACATTCCCCTGTGTTCATCTGTTCTTCAACTAACAACTGTGTTCCCTTGTATTCTGTGTCAATCTCTGGAACAAACAGCCTGTCTTTTCCCACCTTGTCAATTCCTCTCAGTAATTATTGTAATTCGTTATCATGTCCCCACCCTATCTCTCCTGTCCTCCATGTCCCCCTCAGGTTGTTTCCTTGACCACTCTTCGATAGGACATACCTCTACTCTTGACTAGTCTGTTGGCAAACCTTTTGCACTTTCCTCTAGTTTCCTTCACGTGCTTGGCTAGGTGTGGGTTCCAAACTGTGCCGCATACTCCAATACTGGCCTAACTACACGGTGTACAGGTCCCTGAATGATCCTTTATTAAGATGCGGAATGCTGTTCGAGGTTTGCCAGGCGCCCATATGCTGCAGCAGTTATTTGGTTGATGTGCGCATCAGAGATGTGCCTGGTGTTATACTCACCCCTAGATCTTTTCCTTGAGTGAGGTTTGTAGGTCTCCTGCCCCCTAGACGTACTCCGTCCGTGCGGTCTTCTTGCCCTTATTCCCCAATCTTCATGACGTTTGCAATTTGGTGGGATTGAACTCCAGGAGCCAATTGCTGACGCCGTCTGCAGCCTGACCAGATCCTTTGTAAGTTCTGCCTGGGTCTTCGATCGAGTGAATTCTTCTCATCAACTCACGGGCATCTGAAAACAGGGACACCTCAGAGTCTATTCCTTCCTTCATGTCGTTCACAAATACCTAAAACAGCACTGTGTCCTAGGACAGACCCCTGCGGGACCCCGCTGTCACAGTTGCCGCACTCCTGACACCGGGGTCGCGCACGTACCATGACTCGCTGCTGTCTTCCTGACAAGTATTCCCTGATCCATTGGTAGTGCCTTCCCTGTTACCCCTGCATTCCTCCAGTTTTTGCATCAATCTCCTTGTTGGAACTGTGTCAAACGCCTTCCTTACAGTCCAAGAAAATGCAATCCACCCACCCCACTATTCTCTCTCTTACTTACCTGCGGTCACCATGGTCATAGACTCCAGTAGGTTTGTGTGTGTGTTGTGTGTGGGTGTGTGTGTGTGTGTGCTTGGGTGTGTGTGTGTTGTGTGAGTGTGTGTGTGTGTGTGTGTGTGAGTGTGTGTTGTGTGTGTGTATGTGTTGGAACCCACCGGGGAAAGAGAACAAAAGACCCTCCTGGAGAAAATCCTTCGTTTCTCTCTCCTGTTCCGTTTCACTGTTTTCTTCTCGTTGCTTTTTTTTTCTTCTTTTCTTTTTCAGCTCTTAGTATTATGGTACAGCTGGTTTCAGATACTTCTCTCTCTCTCCTCTCCCCCCCCTTCTTCCCACCTCTCACCTTTCCTCTGACTCTCTCTCTCTCCACCCTCTTTTACCCTCCTCTCTCCCCCTCCTTTCCCCCCCTCTCTCTCCTGACCACTCCTCGCACCTGCCTATGAATCTCCTTTCCCCAGTACATTCTATATAAATCAGGACCTCACTCACCTCACCTCGGCCTCACCTCACCTCATCTCACCTCACCTCACCTCACCAGATGCGAATCCCGAGAACCAAATTAAAACATGAAATAACCACTACTTCAAC